AGGAAAGCAAAGAAAATCAAAAGCAAAAATGGAGGACCTTATGACTCTCATAAAATTACTTGTCGATCTCTTATTCAGTGTTTCGCGAGAGCTTGCCAAAGCAAGTGGACTTTTATGTAGGTAAATGCTTCAAATTACACTTGATATACTCGATTTTAAATTAGCAAATTAAGTGTTAGTAGAATTGAGATCAATGACAAAATTAAATAAATACAAATTGCTAATAAAACGATCAAAAACAAGATTTAATTGTATTTGCTATGAAAATTCTGTTAATAGTTTTTGCGCGCGTCTCCATTAATTTTAGTGAAGTTTTCAAAAGACTTTCGTTAAAGATGCTCTCAGTTTTCTTATAAGCAGACATTACTTCTGAGGTTTTAATTGCATACAAGCTCATGTTATAAGTATTTTGATAGTTTGTACTGCTTACTACTTAAAATAAGTAGAGAAGAGAGAGAAATAGCTCCTGTAAAATAAAGTAAAAAACAAAAAAAGGTAAGAAAATCAAAAAACAAGATTTCTTTCAAAATTCGATAATTTTCGATTAATAAAACATGTAACAGTTCTTTATTACATATGTTAAGTATGGTTAGAAAAACACCAAAAACACAAAAGCAAAAATGGAGGACCTCATGACTCCCATTAAATTACTTGTCAATCTCTCCTTCAGTATTTCGCGAGCGCTTGCCCAAGCAAGTAGACTTTTCTGTATGTAAATACCTAAACGAACTCCTGGTATATCGGACCTGAATTTAGCAAATTTGACTAGAATTGAGATCAATAATAAAATTAACAAAAAAAAATTACAAATTGCCGATAAAATGATCAGAAACAGGATTTAATTGTATTTTCCATCAAATTTCAGTTAGAGGTTTTCGCGCGCGTTTACACTAATTTTAATGAAATTTTTAAAAGACTTTCGTTAAATGTGCTCTCAGTTTACTCATAAGCAGACATGGCTTATTTACGGTTTTATTTGCGTGGCCATTGTCATTGCATTATATTATACTGATTATTTAAGAGCAAAATCAAACTTCGGCACTTTTCTATTTAATAAAATGTAATTGGTACACAGGTTTAAAACGGCTTAAATTAAAGTTTATAAATTTTTGAAAAAAACTCTTTGTTTCCCGTATTTATTATCGTATGTTAGTGTTTATCTTCGCTTATCGTACGATAGAGAAGATCTATGTTTACTAAAAGTTCTCTTTCTCAATTCAATAAAAGCAAAAAAATAATATCGCTCTTCTTTGCACTCTTGGAATATGTGTGAGTTCACGGTAGCTTAGGTAATTATTATTGCGATGTGTTAGAAAGGGATAGATAAGCAAACAAAACAATTTAGTCAAATATGGTAAAGTGGGTTGTGGCATTAGTATTAATTGGATTTGAATGTAGTAAATTTATCTAAAATTAATACCAACAAAAAGAAAACTATATGAAAAAAAAAAAAAATTGTGTAACAAAATGGTCGGAAAAGTAAATGAATTGTTTTTTTCAATAAAAATTCGTGCGTTTATTAAATTACTAGTTGTCTGTTGTATAAGTGTTTGTATTATTCTTCAAGAATTTCGTAAACTCAGTGTAATCTCTGTTCACAAAAACAAAGGAACAATAGCTTTTTGCACGTTTGTGCCTGATTCTATTAACGTAGTGCTTTGGTTTAGAGTTATGTAATAGTAAAGAAGAGAGTAATAAATCGCAGCCAGACCTACTGAAATAGATGAAATACAAAAAAAAAAAAAAAAAAAAAAAAAAAAATTATCTAAACGAATTAAATAAAGTTAGATAGTTAGATAGAGATATTAGACCTAAAACCAAAATACAAAAAAAAAAGGAAAAATAGCGTAAAATGAAATAAAATAAAAAACAAAATGGACTACTTAATGAAACACTATTCGTCTCACAACAAACACTTCCACCTGCATATAAGTATATACGGTATACATATGAGACTTTCTTAAAAGCAGTGTACGAAATTTTAATGCACAACGAACTGGATCAAAGATGTCTAACGATTCATTAGACTATTTGATATGGTGTTTATCATTGTTATTATGGTTTTCCGGGTGCGCGGATAATGTCACTTCTTCAACTTTTCAAAATTGTTAGGCACATTTGATCGACAATAAGATGGTAAGTTTTCTCTTTTTTACGTTAAATGATTAGTTATGTCCATCTGGTTACATTCACCTAGCATTAACTTTAAATTTATTATTTTATCCTTTAATCCATAAAAGATGCTAAAAATTAATTTTCCATAGATATTTTAAATATCTGTATGTTGCTTTTTATACGCTACACAATTTGTGGTATCAAAGTATATTAGGTTTGTGCAGCTATATGCAATGGCAAGAAGGGCTTGAGGTAGGTACAATTTTTATTATACCAATTGATTTAGACCCATTATCTGAATCGATTTAAGTCTGTCCGGCTGTCTGTATGTCTTATTTTCTTATGGTAAACCTGTCGAGCGCAATTTTTGAGATATGTTCATGAAATTTGGTACACAGAAATGTTTTGGACCAAGGTCTATTGAAAATGGTTCAAATCGGACAATTTTTTCGACCACTCCCTATATAACGCCCTACTTGAAAAATATTTATATGAATAACTGTATCAAGCGAGATGGCGTAAAGCATTTAGCCGTAGACTATAGACCACTGCAATGCGTTTACTTGTTAAACTTGCGTTTTCATACCCATTAAATGAAATGTCTGTTTGCACTCAAGTTCATAAAAATGATTTAACTTAAAATCTTTGGGAAATATTTTTTAAGAAATTTATATGAATGTTCTCAATCAATCAATCAATTAATCAATATTCATTCAGTATTTGTTATTCACGGAAGAACAATTTGAAATAGATCATTATTTCCTTAAGGTAGCTGACAGCTAAGGTGCAGAGAGGAAGGAGATTGTACGATCCTACAACATCTCTGTTTGGTAACTAATATGGTTATGCTCCATAAATCATCTACAAATGTTTGCAATAAACATAATGCGCGGAATTCTTCTTCCTGTTTAAATTACTCGCCTATCAATCATGAAAAATTCTCATATTTTAAATTAGTTGCGGTGAAAATTCACAACAACGAAATTATCGAAACTTTATTACACCCGAGAGGTTACAAAACGTTTTAGTTTTCAATGACCGCAATTGATACAATTGATGCACAAATTCACACTTTCTTTGTGGGTATAAATTGCAGGCAAAACTACAATTGTTTTTTTTTTTAAATCTCTGACTACATGATATCAATGTTGTCAACTACTAAAGAAAGAAAGTAACTGAAAATTTTGTGCTTCATTCACACAAAAATTAAAATTGACTCTCGGGGTATCGCAAAAAATGTAATCTAGTGGCGGGCAGGTAAGCTTAAAAAGTGGGTGGGAGTTGCATATATTCGGCCAAACTTAACTTGCACTTCTACCACAAGTGCTGTAGCATATAAAAGGGAAATATGCAAAAACTTTTTTATTTTAAATTTAAACTTGAAAATTCGCTCCTTTCTAAACTAACCTCGTAAGTATTATATTAAATGAAAGAACGCGTTAAACCTGCTAAGCTTAAAAGCTGAAAGTGTTCCCTTTATTGGTTTGGATTAATTGACAACACATCTATTTTATGGATATATTTGCGAATTACCTGAGTATGTGGAGTTCACCAATAAATGTTTATGCGACAAATTACGAGCCACCATCGATAAAGCAATAAAACGGTCACTTAGGTATCATAAATATGGGAAAATTGTCAGCTAAATTCGTTTATTTTTGCTTAGTTTACATAATCAACAACATGTTGTTGTTGATGGATTGTTTTTGTAAAGTAAAACTTTATATAATTTAATTGCATTTTAGTTTTGTGGCAATTGAGTACTAGTAAACACACATACACACATATATATATATAATGCAGTTCAGGCGTTTGCGGTTTTTTCACACACAACACAACGTACTGTTTGCGGTCTGCAAAAAAAAAAAGCAGAAAAAATTTCAGAAAAATTAAAAAATTTCTTCATTTTCATGCAACGACTTTGTTGCCGAATATAAACATTAAACAAAGCAAGAGTGCAAGCAGTATTACCTTGAATATCAAAATTTATTTTCGTACGAACAAACGAATATTATTGTAATGATTTTTGTCTACACAATTATCTACAAGTCTGTTTACTGTCTGATCTTATTTGTAGATGATACACTGTACGTAGACTCCCCCGAAGGAGTTGTCTAATCATAATTCATTCATCATCAGCATATAAATTAGTTGCTGCTTATGTTTGTATGTGTTTCATACATATCATTAGGGTATTTTTGTAGAATGTCTTGAAGATTTTGTAAAGAATAAAGTTAAGGTGCAAAATATTATTTTAAAGAAATCTTCTTATTGTCTTGAAGCAATTATTTTACAGGCTTTGCATTTTTCACAGATAAAATTAAAATAAGAAAAGAAATGAATTATATTCAGTTGCAGAGATAATAAATCTTTATTTATAAATGTGCTTTTTATTTTTCTTTAGATATAAAAAGGATTTTCTCATACACACACGCACACACAATTTTTTCATACGCAGTTTATTTTTGTTTCCAAAACGAAAACATTTCGAATCATTTTAGATCGTACGCTTCTAAATATCAAAGAAAGCTAAAGAAATTTGTAAATATTTCCATGTTCAAGGGCGATCTAGAGGAGGATATAGTAAAGATAAACATTTACATATTTATCAAATTTTTACTAAAGATTAATACTAATTTATAAACATTTCTTTTTCTTAAGTTTTCACGATTTTGACGTACAAAGAGGAAAATCGTTTGATGACAATTTGAACATGACTGGATTCAAATTTTGATAATATAATGGATCTAACGGCTTGAGATAATTTATTATGTTCTTAATAGAATGTAGTCAATAGACGTCTCCATTAATCCGATTTCGATATTAAGTTTTTTCATATAAGGAAGAAAAAAACAGCATATTTTTAAAAAATAGTGCTCTTAACCTTTTTAGTCACTTAAACCTTTTTACATATTTTGTATAATTATTCTTCTGTAGGAAGCAGGTATATTACTCCATTCTTCTTGTAGTCCATTTTTCACATCTTGAACAGAAGAGATTGAAGGCTTTTGCACACGCTGGTCTTATTCATCCCACATATTTTTTGATGGGATTCATGCCTGGCGACTGGAGAAGACAACGAATAACTTTAGGGCAGCTATATATAGAGCCATTCTTGACTTAAGCGGGACTTACGCTTGTGGCCATTGCTTTGGTAGAATTTTAATGTTTCCAAAATGCTAAGTTTGTCTGTAGTTTCTTCCAAATTTTCCTTCAACATCCATAAATAACTCCCCTTGTTTACTATGTCATCCATAAACATCAATTTCCCGACACCGTTGGTCTAATTCATACCAAACCATAACATGATCATTGCCATGCTCACGGTAAACCGACGGTGCAAGAGCGTCATAGGAATCTGAGCAATAGAAAGCGAGAACTGTTGGGCTAACGCGCCCCACTTGTAAAAATGGAAACAAGTATTGGAAACATTATCATGTTCTTTAACACAAATCTTTCGCTTCGGCTTCGACTTTGTCACTGTTGATCTTTGAACATCAATTTCTTGATTAAATCGCTGGCCTACGCATAACATTTTACGTTCTTACACATAGCTTGTTTAACAATCAATGAAAAAAAACAACAACATTTCAATTATTCCTAGAATTTTCACAAGTGACTGTGAGTCACGTCTTAATATGATTCATTACAAAAAAAGGGTTAACAAGTATTATTTTTGTATTTGTTTGCATTGTGTACGCTAAGTGAGGTCTTTGCTCGTTAGAAACCGATCATTTGCGCCTGATTCTCACCCTAACAGCGCGATCGTACTTACCGTGTCCATAATCACTCGAATCTTGGATATATGAGAGATAAAGACTACGCCCGTATTTCACTTCCTTTGGTCGCGCAGTACATATACGCTTTCTAGATAGCTGTTAGAAAACGGCCCATTTATGAACTGTAGCCTATGTAAGGATGACTGATTTTTTCTATTTTCCAAATAAAAGTTCTTGTCGCGTGGCCGTGTGGGCGTTGTAGGCGTATCCGTGTAAAAGTTTACGTCCCTCCGATGTATTCATTTGCGCTAGACAGACGAACAGAGGGACATGTTTAGGTGCATTGCAAATTTGCAACTGGCCAACGATTTATATACTTTTTGGGGGTATATTGAAAAGAAAAGAAAATTTTGATACACTATAATATTGGGTAGGCGTGGTCAAATATTTCCATTTTATAATTCTTTTGCACTCTAGATGAAGGGACAGGTGTTATTAAAAGTGAAAGCGTTAAACATGAAGGCGCCTCTCTGTTGGCCTAGTTAAAGCTAATTTTGCCTAGTAAGTAGAAGAAAGCCTTACTTATTTTGTTCTTTTTTTTTTTAAATTAATCGTTAATAACTCGTCTATAGTTATTGTAGCGACGTTTGTTAGCAGGTCACGTGTCAATAGGCTCGACGACAGCAATTAAACTCAAAAGATAGATTGAGAACATCCCGTGTCCAAAAATAAAAAATTTTTTTCCAATTTTTTTTTATTTAATAAATATATTTGTTTTTATCAAATGTTGCGTATGTAGTCCGAAAAATAACTGCATGTAAAACGCAACAAAGTTTAATGCAAACATGAAAACGAGAAAACCAACTATATGTGATGTGTGTACGTGTGTACATTAGAAAAGAGCAAAAAAAAAAAAAAAACAAATCAGTTTTGTGTACCGGAAACAGTAAATTAGTAACCAGAGGAATATAGTGTTGTGTTGATTATTATTAGAGAATTTAATTTAGTTAACTTTTCTTCCGTCCGTCCCCCCTCTGGCCATCTTCCATTCCTAGAGATATGTACGCCAAAGTGTAAACTAAAGTATGACGTGGTAGTGAGCGATGAATTTCTAGCCACAAATTAAATATTTACTCGAACATATATATATATGTGTGTGTGGTTGTGTGTGCATTTTCTGTAAATGCAAGTACACACAGGTGTACGTACGTGCGTGAGCAAACCCAAGTGGTAACAAAGTTGTATTTACAAAGTTTAGGGCACAACGGACCATGCAGAGGAGGTGCTGCCATCCAATTGTGA